TACAACATTGTATTTTTCAAAGTTCAGGATAAAAACTTGAACTTTCAAATAAATTGTATTTTTTTGAATGATCAAAACTTATGACCCTGAAATACCTCCATACAAACCCGTTATCCTGACTTTTTTTTTCTCTCTGTTTTTTTTTTCATGTCCCTTTAGGGGCTCCGTAGTTTTTTCACAATATTTAACAAAAATGTTTTTATCCGTTTTGTTTAGTTTTCCATTTTTGGGGGGATATTTTTCACAATAAAAAAAACACATTATTCACATATTTAAGGACATTTTACATTTATTTAAAAAACAAATACTGTTTTTAAACCTGTATAATTTATAATTAGTGTAATCACCTTTACGGTCTCAAGTCTCATCCGCTCACCTTGTCTTTTGTCGTGGCTCGGTGAGGAAGAGGAGGAGGGCGAGGGCTGGGGTGAGGAAGAGGAGGAGGGTGAGGAAGAGGAGGAGGGCGAGGGCTGGGGTGAGGAAGAGGAGGAGGGTGAGGAAGAGGAGGAGACGGCGCTGGATTCAGCGAGGTCACTTTGAGATCGGGCTTTGTTCTGACGCTCTGAAACAAAACAAAGTAAACATTAACGTTTCTCTGTGACGGACTGAGATATAATCCACATATTTATATTAAAAATAAAGTTATTTTACTTTGTAGAAACTCAGCCTGCAGCGCTGGACTCCTGAGAGAAAGACGAGGAGGAGGAGCAGGTGAGGAAGAGGAGGAGACGGCGCTGGATTCAGCGAGGTCACTTTGAGATCGGGCTCTGTTCTGACGCTCTGAAACAAATGAACCATAACTCAAGTTTCTCTGTGACGGACTGAGATATAATCCACATATTTATATTAAAATAAAGTTATTTCACTTTGTAGAAACTCAGCCTGCAGCGCTGGACTCCTGAGAGACAGACGAGGAAGAGGAGGAGATGAAGAGGAAGATGTTTCTGATGAAGGCTCCATGATGTCTGCAGGAACACATCATGAATCAGCTGTTAGATAACCTCACTGGTTAGAAGGGCCAATTTATATATACTTTTGGGTCATTGCACACGTTTTCTGACCATTTTTTAAAAAACTTCACATTTTGGACAATTTCCTCAAACCTTTTTGGACATGTTTTGAATTTTTGTATAAACTTAACGTATTTTTGATATACTTTTCGCACGTTTTCCACGAACTGTCTTCAACCTTTCTCGCAGTATTCCATGGTCTAATGTCTGATGATGTAAAGTCACGTGCGGCTCACCTGGTCTCTGGCCGCTGCTCAGAGAGGAAGAGGAGGAGATTTCTTCGTCGCTCTGAGAACCAAACTTGTTCCGACGCTCTGAAAACAAAGAGGATAACGTTTCTGTTCCTCTGTCGACGTTCATCCGTCTTTTAAAAATAAAGTTATTTTACTTTGTAGGAACTCAGCCTGCAGCGCGGGACTCCTGAGAGACAGACGAGGAAGAGGAGCAGGTGATGAAGAGGAGGAGGTTTCTGATGAAGGATCCATAATGTCTGCAGGAACACATCACCGATCACTCATCGTTTCCTTCAAACCGAAAGTCTCTAAAGACTTCTTCTTTTCTTCGGTCACTTTTTAATGATATTTTATTTATCTTATATTTCTCTGAAGCTTTATGCTAAGCTAACAGTTTCCACTCCTACTGCTAAATTAACATAGAAATACAAACATTTTATAAAACCTTGACTTAGCCTTTTTCATTAATTAGATCTTTGTATTGAATTAAAAATAATACAAGTTTTAATTTGTACATCTTTAAGACATTTTCCATAGTTTTTAATCACCTGTTCTCCGTCATGAGGCTTCAACGAGGCGTCAGCGCGGCTTCAACACTCAGGACTTCCAGCTGTTTCAATCCTTCAGAATCTCTAAACTAATTTAGAGTTTACTCACAGACTGAAGCTGCAGCTCCTCGCCGCCATTTCCTGCTGCCGGGACAAAGTACACACGCACGCACGCACGCACACGCACAACTCAAAAGTCCATGTTAATTATTGATTTTGTTTTTAATGACGGACAACAAGGAAACCAGGAAGTTAAAAATAAATAAAGTCAGCTGGACTTTTACCTCCAACGCCCACTCGTCTCCATAAAGCTGCATTTATACGGAAAGACGTGCAGCTTTTTATTTGCATTCAAAATGTTTCTTACATGTTTGTATTCAGTGCATCATCATGAATAATAACATATTAAAATATATCATAACAATCATTTAGAATCATTAAAAATGACGACAGAAAGTCTCAAATCTTTTTCTTGTTTTTTTATTAAACAGTTTTTCTTGTGTACAAACTGTGGAGGAGGCCATGAAGAGAACAGAGACACACCTCCAAGCACACTGTTAGCTTCTCGTTACCTTCATTTATTACAACAACAGGTGTGAAGGTTCCCTTTAGCAAAGTGCTTAATGCTAAGCTAACTGTTCCCAAGGCTATCCAGGCTTTATGCTAAGCTAACAGGCTTTATGCTAAGCTAACAGGCTGTAGATTCATACTAAACAGTTTGTCATTAAAGTGAGAATATGAGCAGAAATGTATTAACTCTAAAAGTCTATTTAAATGTCTGCGATGATGAAAACAGGAGCATCGTCCAATCAGAGCGTCCAATCAGAGCGTCCATTCAGAGCGTCCATTCAGAGCGTCCAATCAGAGCGTCCAATCAGAGCGTCCATTCAGAGCGTCCATTCAGAGCGTCCAATCAGAGCGTCCATTCAGAGCGTCCAATCAGAGCGTCCAATCAGAGCGTCCATTCAGAGCGTCCAATCAGAGCGTCCATTCAGAGCGTCCATTCAGAGCGTCCAATCAGAGCGTCCAATCAGAGCGTCCAATCAGAGCGTCCATTCAGAGCGTCCAATCAGAGCGTCCAATCAGAGCGTCCATTCAGAGCGTCCAATCAGAGCGTCCAATCAGAGCGTCCAATCAGAGCGTCA